CGGTCCCGAGTGTGATTACGAGCATGCCCGTGCCCGTGATGACAGCACCCCCGCCACCGATCGAAACCCCCGCACGACCAAATGAATCATCCGCCCTATTAGAACTAACCAAGACATTGGTTACTTTGATTCAGGAAAGCAAAAAGGAACAGTAGGAAGACAACGCTCGAATAGAGGCGATGATGAGGTCGATGCGTCCAATAGCGGTACGTGCCGCCCCGATTCAACATGGATTGGCTCCGGCACCCCCTCCTGTAGGGATCCCTGACAATCTGAACGTCTGTTACACGTGTCACCAACCAGGGCATATAGCCCGAGATTGCCCTCATCGACCCCCGCAGCAACGAGTCGGAGCCGCACCAGTAGCAGCGGCCCCGATCGCCAACGAACCCGGATGAGTAGGGGCGTTGATGGAAAAAATGGAAGGAGGCGGAAGCACATTAGCTACGATGGAGGAAGATGTTGAACTGATTTCGTTGGATTAGTATGTAACACTTGGCTACCCAGGACTTGGGATGACTGGAACGATTAGACCCGCGCCAGAACAAAGAGAAGTGGCGGAATGGCGACCTTCTCCAAGAGAAATGAAGTCAGGAGGACCTACCTTCGTCACTGGGGAGATCGATGTTTTGAACATCGTTCGAGCCTTAGATCATCGGATTCCTTTTCCGATCGGTCATCTACTTTCGATATCAGAACAAGCCAACGAACGAATGCTGCAACACTGCAAAGCGAATCGAAAACGATTCGCCCTTGCTCGAATAGCGAGCACAAAATCGAAAAATCCCACGCCAGATGAAAATGCAGCAGGAACTTCAGACCCAATACGGTTAGGATTAATCCAGAAAGACGATCACTTCTTTACGGATTAAACCGATCCCATAAAAATCCGTCGAATGCGATATCGAGATATGGGGAATCCCGTACAATGCCATTATCGATTCGGGAGCCGCTGTTTTGGCTATCTTGTTACGGGTAGTTGAAAGAGAAGGGAGAAAGAACGATCTAATCATGCTTACGGAAAAAGATCAGCTCGTTTCAGCAGATGAGGAGAAGATCAAAACGGTGGGACGGATGACCAATGTTGCTTTTCGATTAGGTAAGGTACATGCTTTGAGAGATGTCGTAGTCTTAGACGTAAACACTTACGACGTCCTTTTTGGCCTTCCCACTCTTGTGGCCCTGCGAGCCAATCTTGATTTCGAGAGACGATCGATTGTTCTCCGAAATACAGGAGGAAGACCTTATGTTGTACCGATGAGATTGACCCTTCGTACCACCACTAACGTGACTCCGCGAGTCTCCCCCATGATGGCGGAAACTCTCCGCGTGATTACCTGGGATAATTCTGCAGACGACGGACAACCGTCAAAGGACACGGACAACAGCGACGAGGATGATCCGGTGATCCTGGAGATGGCGCAACAACGGATCTATTATCCGGTGCAATGAGTAAACGCACGATCGCTAAGCCTGACTGATCAGAACCTACAAAGAACGCAAGCTATGATCATGGGTGAACCCCTCGTGCAGATTTCGAGGATGGTCGATTCTTTGGAACCCCCTCGAACCCTGTACGAAGGTATCTCCCCTCTACTTGCACAATATGATGACAAAAGACACTACTGCGACATCACGAGTCTTCCACGATCTCTTTTGTCGCCTGCAAAGGAGATACGATTGATACGCTTGGGAGTGGAGACCAATTCTTTGGAACCCCCTGAGCGCCTCGAAACCGGATTCGGAATCAAAATCGCGACGAAACCAGTGCCTTGGCAGGACGTTTGAGACGGAATAACACCGGAAGAACACGTGGCCATTCGAGAACAGGATGCACAGATGATGGCCACGGTATTCTCCTGGCGGTCGGACAATTCGTTTATTTCCGCACCCCCGCCCGAAAATACTAAGCGGGTGAGTACGAAACACATCGGTGTGCGGATATGGGATGAGTTGTATGAGTTGCACGTGCTCCAATACATACCTAATGAAATCCACCACCTAATCGTGAAAATTCTAAAAGAATACAAGTGAGCGATTAGTGTGACAGACACAGATATTGGACTTTTGTTAGTCATACAGCACGAGATTCAAACCGAAAGCCATCCCACGATCCACTGTAAGCCCTACAGATACTCCCTGGTGGAGCGGAACACGGCCCTTAAGCAGATTCGAGAATTTGAAGCCAATGGGTGGATCGAACCCGCCACCGGGCCATGGTCGTTCCCCGTAGTATTAGTGCCAAAAAAGAACGGATCGATTCGCATATGCATTCATTATCGCAAGCTGAATGACATCACGATTAAAGATGTATACCCCCTTCCCAGGATTGATGACTTGCTGGATGCGATTGGATGTGCTAATTATTTAAGTACATTTGATATTCGACATGGCTTTCATCACATCCTGGTTAAGGAGGAAGACCGACCGAAAACGGCCTTTGTATTGTTTGAAGGCACGTGGCAGTGGGTTCGATGTCCGATGGGTATTTGCAACGCGCCTGCCACGTTTCAGCGGGCGATGAACGTGACGTTCCAAGACTTCGTCAACAAGATGCGACTCACTCAAGGGATGATTAACTTTTGCGTCATCGTGTACATGGACGACATCCTCGTCTACTCGGAGACCTATCACGGGCATGCACAACACATCGAGTGGACGCTAGGAGCTCTGAGAGACGCTGGGTTCAAGATCGCGCTCGAGAAGAGCGAGTTTTTCCTCTCAGAAATCTCATTCTTGGGTTACGTGGTGACACGTGGAGGACTGCGACCAGATTCAAGGAAAGTCGCAACGGTGAAATATGCTCCTGTCCCCACGTCAGTGATGCAGCTTCGAGCTTTCCTGGGACTGACATCGTACTACCGCCGTTTTATCAAAGGCTTCGCTGCGATTGCACGACCTCTAACGAATCTGCTACGAAAGGACCAGCCCCTCAGTTGGGACGCAGAGTGCGAACAGGCCTTCGCCACCCTCAAAGGCGCTTTGGCCACAACACCTATTTTGATCCGGCCGGACCCCACGAAGCAGTTCATTCTCATCACGGACTGATAGCCAGAGGCGATCTCCGCTATTCTAGCGCAGAAGGGGAACGACGACCGAGAGCGCGTGATCGAGTACGCGTCTCGTACGGTGCCAGACGAACGAAGGAACGATTCAGCCCCGCAAGGTGAATGCTATGCTGTAGTCTGGGGAGTTCAACACTTCCATCCCTACTTGTACGGACAAAAGTTCGTCCTTGTAACCAATCACGAGCCATTATTGGCTCTCAAGAAGCTCACCAATTACACAGGCATGATTGGACGGTGGTCGGTGCGGCTACAGGAATACGATTTCGCCCCGTTAGGATACCAAAGGGCGAAGAAATCATTCCATGGAAGGAACCGGAGTCAGCAAACGGACCCAAGTACGGACAGGAGGCAGCCCTTCCACGTGGCAAGAAGCAGGTGATTGGCAGTGGGTGACGAAGGTAATCCTACGACTCCTCTCTCTCCCCTCTCATCTTCATTTTTTCTCCCCCGCCCGACAAATTTTGTTATTTTTGTGAAGCGATCTCGTGCGTCTACGCGATCTCAATGCGTCCTAGCGGAGAAAGGTATGCAGAATGGATAGATTGTCGACAGTGTGTCGCACGAACCCATGGCTCGTGCATCTAGTACAGAAATGGCGATAAGCCTTGGTTGTGTCCCTTGTGTCGGACTGATAAGATTCCGACTGAAGCTCGATTTCTTGACGCCACGTCAGAAGGGTTGGAAAAGACCCGGAAGTTTAGAAGGGCCGAGGTATGGATGGACATCGCTCTAATTGCCACCTTGGTAGGAAACCCCCTCCAGGACTTCACTAAGGGAGACAGGAGGAGGGTCAATAAAAGGGCTCGGGATTATCGTTGGAACGAGGGCCGGTTAGAAAAACGGAAAACGAATGGTAACGGGATTTGGATGGTAGTGCCGCACCCGTTCATGAGGTATGACTGGGTTAAGACGGCGCATGAGGAAACGGCAACCCATTTTGCCGTACGGATCACGGAAGCGGCAATCGACAAGAACGAGTGGTATTGATCCAATATTCGCGATGATGTGAAATTCATTGTCGCGAATTGTCAGGTATGCGCTGCAGACAAGACGCCGATCCAACCGCCAAGATCGATAGTACAGACGGTAGTCGAACAACTGTTTCAAAGGGTTAGCATGGATACTACCGATATTGTGGGGCCCCCTGGACCTAATAGCTGCGAGTATTCAATCCTACTGGTATTCGTAGACCACTTTTCGAAATGGATTGAGGCATATCCGTGTCGTACACGACAGGCGGCTGAAATTGCGCGATACGTCAACCGGTTTCTAGGGATGCACCAGGACACGGAGGAAATCCTGACCGACAATGGGGCAGAATTCAGAGGGGAAGTCTTAAGGAATCTGGTCGTACACGGCGTCGCTATTCGGAACACTGCACCCCACATGTCGCAATCTAATGGCTTGGTGGAAAACGCAAATCGAGTGATAAAGACACCATTGCGATGAAACATCGCGGCACGGGATCCGAGGCCCTGACCCGATATCGTAGATCACATCCTCGCGGTCCATCAGGGAACGCCTCACGAATCGACGGGCCTTAGCCCCTTCCAATTACGAACCAATAGTGTAGCTTGTGTTTCGATACCGAGCCTCCCCGACGAATCTTCATTGAACCGGCGACCCACAAGGGCCACGGTTCGTGACAAGGCCAAACGACACATGGAGTTGATGGAGTGGTCCCTTCCCCGATTAGCCCGAAAATGCCAAAAAATGACTGAGTTGGCCCACGGCCGACAAGTCCGTAGCTACGAGGCCCGAAATGGGAACGCAGGGCCATAGCCCCAGTATAAATTTGGGGACCTGGTGCAGGTGAGGAAATGTGCTCGACAAGGGAAGATAGCGCCACGATTCTTCGGGCGGTTTCGTATGATCGAACTCGGCCCGAACGGAGTGAACACCGTGCGCCTCGTGCCGGAGGTCTCGGGAAGCCGATAGGCTCGACCGATCGTCTGCCACGTGTCCTATCTACGTCTTCTCCCTTCCTCTCCATCTCAAGCTGCATCTGCTTCCTCCTTCGCTATAGAAGAGAACGACGATTCCTTATCGCCTTCATCCCCCCGTGCTTCTCTTACTCCGTCCTCATCGCTATGGCCATGAGTTTTCTCACTGAGCGGGCTATCGGCGATCACATGTTGGCGCCACGTGGCGACATTTCGGCAATTTGGCAAGTTCATCACCCGCGATTCAGTCTGGACCTTTTACGGCTCGCGCAGTTCTTCAACACTACCGGGGTGTACACAGCGGCGGAGTTCCGATTCACCGGTCATCGTCAAGCAATCGTATTGGCAGAGGCGGCAACGGTTCGACGGCTGTCAGCACCAGGAGTTAGCCACGTGTCTACTACCGTCATCTTCAGCGGCGACATTAGCGCGATCAGCCCTCTGCGACACACGCCCATCCGGACGTCGCTAAGGGAGTGGGGTCAACAGCTGGCAGCAGAGTGGAATCAGTGGCTGACACGTCGTGGCAATAATCTTGTCCCCGCGGACGACATCGAAGTCGGAGGACTCCGGACATCTCGACACGAGCCCGCGGTGGTGCTCCCTCAGCTCGTCCCTTTCCAACGTCCTCAATGAACCGATCCCAACTCTCTACCTTCGCTCTCCCCTCTCTCTTCCCTACCTTCTGGCAGTCTGATCTTTGCCCCCGTCTCTCTTTTCGTCTGAAACCACTTGCTGTCCCCCTCCTCAACCGAAGATAGTGAGAACTGTGGTGCGAACACTTCGTCGATCTTTCGGTGTGTCTGGTCGGAGTGCAACTGACGTGGACGAGGGACATAGAGCATCGCGTCTGAGTCGCATGCATGGAGTTGTTGATCATCCAAGCTCGGAGGACGGAGGTGGAAGGATACCTTTTCGGATTTCTATTCGGATCGGTGCATCCCGGCTATCGACAACAGATCGTGCAGGAACTCACGATTCCCCTCGTGCAGCTGGCCGACGATCTCCCTCTCGATATCGTCTCGCAGTGTGACGAGAGCCCGGTCCCGCACGTCCTATCACGAACTCTGACACCCTACCTGCAGTGGTCGGCTTGCCTCGAGGAGCTAGCAGGTAACAACAACCCGCCATCGCAACAACCATACCTGGACCCCCAGGGGATAATCGACCTCGCCTTCTTTCAACCTCGAACGGCCTCCGAAGACGAAGCGATAACACTAGAAGAGGAGGAGGAAGAGGACGAAGAGGCAGGCGACGAGGAAGAAGAAGAGGAACCCCCGGAAGAAGGAAGTTACAGCAAGCATAGCGAGGGAGAGCAGAGTGACGAAGAGGAAGAAGAGGATCAGTCAGAGGAAGAGGAGGAATCTGAGTGGGAGACGTTGGGAGAAGAGGCGGATCGCGCAGAGCCCCACGAGGAGGATCCCGAGGCTGCGCGAAGAAGAGAGGAGATAGCGGCCAGGACGCAGCCACTGGAGTTCGCAAGCGGGGTGGACCTGCCGATCCCGAACGACCCAGCCAAGGATCCCGAGCCACCCAAGAACGACGATGGGGACCTTGCTGCCGAGACTTCGAGCGCACCGGCCAGACGGCGACGAAGCCGATCCCCCTCCCCCTCCACCTCAGCCCGTCCACCAGTTCGAGCTCGTACCGATGCGGGGCATCGGGCTTCGTCCCCGGTCCTTATCCCGTCGTCCCCTTGACCACCTCACCCTCCACCAGATCACGACCTGCATCACCTTCCCCTGCAATCCCTTCCCAATAGACACCTTTCGCTTCTTCTACGCCACCCGTCTTGCTGTCACGGTTCAACCCCATCCTTCTACCCGGTGTGCCACCCCTGTTTTCTGTCTCCACGCCCTTCTCTTCAGTGTCGTGTGGCGAGACCACAACATCGTCGAGGTTTACTGCATGATCACGGGGACTATCCCCGCATGCGAAAACCACGATCACTTCCGCACGGCGCTTTTTCGAATTTTCACCACCCTTTACCCCGACTATCTCGCATCCCTCCCGCATAGTGGCAATCGATTCCCTAGCTTCCACCGGATCATCCGATATCAGGAGCTTCCGGAGACAGTCGCGGGATTAGAATGCTTCCTGCCCCCACTCCCGACTACCCCAACCCCTCGCCATGCCCCCATGAATCGTCTTCCCTTTCCCCTTCCCTTAGGTCATTGATGTATGGTTGATTGGCACGTGCCACGGCGATGGCACGCACGATCCCCTCCTTGGATTGAAGAGAGCCCATCCTGAGGAAACTATAGGATAGAGCCACGTGTGCCACCCTGGATGACGTCCACACTCTTATCGAATGGTAAGTGGCAACAAAGAAGGCTCCGCGTGTCGATCGATTAGAATGATCGACACGTGTCATGATCCCCTCCTTGCTTAAGATTGGAACCCCCTGGGCGTCACATATGTGACGAACCACTTTCTGTTCCGCGCGATTTTCTGCACGATGACAATGAGGGGTCCTAAGATGGGAAGGTTGGGCCAATTATGGGAGATCGAGATCGAAGGGAAATTGCATCGGTGTCCTCGCTCTTTCGTCTTTTCTCTTTCGTTGCTTCTTTTTGGATGGTTGGGTTCAGAGCCGGACAAGTCCCGAGATGTCCGATTGAGTGGTTGTCGCGCTGACGAAGGCGCGAATAATAATGTTTGACATCACTTCTTTCTAGTTCTGTTGTCGGGTTTTAGGCGAGGAGGTCGCGTGGGAATTTTGCTTCGTTCTTTTTGAATTTCTTTTTCGAATCTTGTCGAGCTCTTGACGGCTCTCGGAACTTCGGGTTTTCTTTCCAGAATTTGTGTTTCTTTTTGCATTAGCAAGGAATTTAGGAATTCGGGATTTCTTTTGCCGCGCGCTGTCTTTCTTGCGCGCTTCTTTTTGCGGCTACAACGGAGCTCTGATTAGTCGGCGCCCTTAATCTTGCAAGTAACTGTAATTTTTGGGCGGACGCCATTGTAACTGTATCTTTCTTCTTGAGCTTCGTCTTTCCCACGCTCTCTTTCCCTTTTGTTGTGCCTAGTAGTTAGCCCCGCAGCCTACATGCTCGGATCGATGCGTGGAGAGTGGCTACGTCCCCCACGCCGCGGTCTGGCCATGCAGAATGCTGGCGCTCCCTCTCCTAATCTTCCTTCTAAGTCCCTGTAATTCCGTGTTTTCGCGAATGCATGCACGCTGTTTAAATTGCGGCTGCGCGATTAGATAGCTCTCTTAACCAGCTGTTGGAAGCTCGGGGTAGCGCGATCAGTGAGGGTCAGCTCACGTGCGAAGTAAGAGGTGAGTTGAAGTGGGAGTCGGGCGACCCGACGAGCGGGTGCCGAATGCGCAGGGTTTACGCGTGGGGTTACGAGGGACTGTAGCGTGCGGGCGAACCTGACGGGTGCAGGAGGACTAAGCGGGGTGACGACTTTGTGGGTTGGTGAGTGACGACAGACTGTCCGCATTGGAGAGAGAGAGAGAGAGAGAGAGAGAGAGAGAGAGAGAGAGAGAGAGAGAGAGAGAGAGAGTTGATGAACGTGGATTTGCAATTTTCTTTGTCTTTTCTCCCTCTTTGCTTTTGTATATAAATTTTGATCTCGGCTCAAGGCGACTTGCCCGTTTTCTTTTGTTTCGGAATCCTTGTCTCGGTTTCAGCCCACACTCGTTTTTGCGATTGATCTTGATCTCGTTTATTGGGTGTTTTGTCGAATGAATGGATGAATGAATGTTATGTTTGTTGCTTTTCTTTTGTCTGGTCCTTGCCTTTGCTTGCCATTAGGATAACCCCTAAACGAGGTAGAAATTTTTGCATAGTCGTCATTATTGCTTCCATTATGGCTTTGATCCGTTGTTGTTCTGATGTTGTTGTGATGTCTGATGTTGTTGTGATGTCTGATGTGTGTTAACACCTTGCATGCCCAGAAACAAGCGAACACCCTGCGAGGACACGCGTAAGCGCGATTTGATCTGCGCAGCCTACACGTGTCCACGCGTGCCGATTCGCGACTATTGACGAACCTGACATCCATTACGCCGCAATGATAAGATGTCGAGCTCTTGGGACTCGGAGTACTTCGACCCTTGGGTGAGAGAATGTATTAGGCAAAGATACCCGGAATTCCCCTGCCTAACCGAGAATCGATTGTGCCCTAGGGAGTTTCACTATGCCGTAACCAGCGATCCAAGGTGCCCCGATTTTCCCACCACGGATAACACGCAATACTTCATATCCCCCGGCTTCGTCGTTATCACTACCAATTTCCCTCCCTTCCGGCTCCTCCTTCCTTATCACCAACTCACAGTAGTTCCGTGGAATTCCATCGCCCCGTATTGGCCCCGCACGCCTTGGGGAAATTGTCGGTGACGCGGCGGTCGACGAGCCTCTGAAACTATGGGGCCTAACCAAAACGCGTGACGACAGACGCCACGTGTCTGCACCCGAAGGTCCGACTCAACGGAATCACAACCACCCCGGGCGGGCCCATCCCCGAACCTCCACCACCGAAAGAGACGGATCAGACGACCTTGAATGCACCGCACATGCCATCTGCCTTATGCTGCACGACCTCGACCGCCATCAGATTGGAAGTAACTCGCCCCTTAGCCCTATTGCATCTATGCACCTGAAACCTTGCCACATGAGATCTCAGTTCCGACCTGGGACTCCACCCCCGCTTTCCCAAAAATCCTTGGCACACCCCTTTTCGCACTTCCAGTCCCACATCCCATTCTGATCAGGAAGTCGCGTCGGGCGTGAGGTTGGGCGTCACAACGCCCCAGCTCCAGCCAGCGTCGTTCTGGCATTGGCATTTCCTGGTCTTCTCCTCCATCTCTGTATCTTTATCCCTGCCCGCAGATCTGGACCTAGGATTTTACAAAACTTATTACTGTTATCCGGATCTACCACCCAACTTCCGGCATTGAGCTCACTATCTTTTTGTAGCGCCCGGATCCAGTGGGCGGGGACTGAGTTTTGAATAATCCCATAGTTCTGCTCCACTTGACATAGCCTGGGTAATTTTGCTTTCAAACTGTCTACCTTTAACCAATCTGCCTCCTCTTCATTCCACACATCACGTAGCTGGATGACACCATGTTCTATCCATGCTCTGCCGAACGACCCTGGGCTGCCATCTGCCATTATAAGATTTGTCCCTTAAACCTTAATAAGGTCATTTTAAAGGAGTATTTGATTCAAGATCTAACCTTTTGCTATTGGCTCCTCCAGGATTTGTGGACCAAACCTGTGACTTAGGTCGTCTTTGACAGTAAGATTTTATCATGAAACACATCCGAACATGAGCACCCTCCTTCAGTGACCATTCCTGCATCGGGATATATATTATGCTAGCCACCGCCGAAACTTGTCAGCATCCCAACACATAGCCGTTAACGGCCACTTGGTCAACAAAGCTACATTTTGTTTCACCGGGTCTAAGATGCCCAGACCCCCTTCTTCTCTCGAATGACAAATTACTCCCAGACCGCTTTCACAATGAACCCCTGATCATCCGTAGCCAGGGGCTTCCATAAGTATCTAGCTGCCGCTCTCCTTATTTTTCTGTAGGCCTCCTCCCCTAGGAGATGAACTGAAACCAAAGAATGGAAAAGGTTGCGGATGATAAAACCAGTGCCCTCCCGAACAGTGACAGTTGATGGTTCCGTACCCAGCCACTGATCCGGGAGATCACCTTATCTGTCAACAAAGAGTCCTGGGTCTGAGAACAGTCATTTAGTGAGACTTGAGCACCTAGGAACCGATCTGATGTGTTTGCTGGAATCTGACGAAGGCCCCAGTCCACTTTCAATGTGAAGTATTGTGGAAGAAAAAATATCGACTTATCCCAGTTGATAGAAGCTTCAGACAAGTCACGATATCGGTCTAGAATCTTTTTCAATTCCAACAAGGACTCTGATTTGTTAACGCATGCAACAGTGAGGTCATCCGCTATGGCCCCCCCCTTCCAATGTATATGGGGAGGGAGGTGTAATCCCACTATCCTATCATTCATTCTAATGTTAAAAAGTAACACTTCTAATTGAATCACAAACAACAAAGGTGCCAAAGGACAGCCTTGCCGAAGAGACCTTGTTAAGGGAAATTCGGACGATATGTTGCCATTTACCTAAATTGAAAGGATGTAAGAGTTCCCTCAACACTGGTTTCGACTGTTTCAGTATCAGACTTCTAAAGGTGATTTTTTTCATTCGATCGAAGCCTACTATTCCCCTGATTCTCAACCAATCTAGCCATTCTTCATGCTTTCTAGCCTCCAATCTTTCCAGAGTAGCTAAACCGAGTTTACGCTGTTCATATCAATAGAATTCGGTAAAGGGGTCGGTCCCCATCCTGAGCCTTCTTTTCTTCCCAACTCCTATTGGCTGCTCGCATTCTAGAAAAAGTTTCTAGTGCAGCGGCGATAATTCCCAGTCCTACTTCAGCCCAGGCCTCTTCATGGGGAAATAAATCCTTTGCTCCCATCCACGCTGTCATCTGTTTGTCAACCCATTCCATAATTCCTTTCCCTTTTAGATGATTGACATTTAAACGAAAGGGAGGGTGAGCTTTTTCAATTTGCTCCTTAGCTATTATGTCCATACCCACTGGACTGTGGTCTGATCGTGAGGCCACAAAGGTGTTGCACCACATGCATTTGTCCCAAACTGTTCCCCTTGCCAAGAAAAGTCCAATCTTCTTTTTGGTTGGGGGGCCGTAGGCGAGGGGCGGGGACCGGACCACGTGAAGCCATTTGAATCCGGGTTCAGAACCCCAAACATGTCATATAGGCTCT